GACAGGAAAAGATAAAGTAACTTCCATGCCAACACTTAGTGGATGGTAAATTCTGTTATTTATTTTGGTTGGAGAAAACATGAGGGAAAACAGGGAAAATACTGAGGGTAAATAAAGGTTTCTTCTGAATTTCAAACTGGATTAGAAAAGCTTATTTCCCATTCTGAGTATGGTGGAAGATTGGCTTTCTACGAAAAGAAATTAGCTACCAGCGGAAGAATCTTTCAAGTATCTGCACAGTGAGTGGATGTGACCTATGGCCAGTGGAAACTGTGTCCCTGCTGGGGCCAGGAATTGTTAACAAAGCTGGAATTTGGCCAAAAGAAGCTGAAAACCAATTTCTATGTGAAATCTTAATAAGTAAATGGTCATTTTTGTAAATATTCTAGGTATGCTTGAAATAAAGTATATAGTCTACTGATATTTTGAATATAGGGCTCTACATGTGTTCATAGGTCAAATTTGCTGACCATGATGTGTGAATTGTCTGTATCTTTACTTTTTGCTTATTGTGTCAGTTACTGAGAAAGGTATATTAAAGTTTCCTGTAAGGTGAAGGAATTTTGTTTTATCTATTTTGCTAAGAAATTTTGCTCCATGTACTGAGCCTGTTATGCTGCATAGAACTTTAGAACTGTTATGTCTTTCTGAACCTTTTGGTCACTTGAAATATCCCTCTCTCTCTAGTTATGCTTTTAACCTTAAAGTTAGTTTTTCTTCAGCTTTATTGAGGTATTATTACTACTTTTATTTAATAGAGACTCCAACTTCCTTTGGCTTAGTATTTGCATAATGTATCTTTTTCCATCTTTTTACTTCCCACCTTTTTTTTGGAGTTGTCTTTATTTTCTTATGCTTGGTTATTTTTGTTAGTATGCTGGACACATGTGAAAAAATAATTTGAGGGTGAGGCAGATGTTACCTTCCAAAGTCCAAAAAGGAATTTCCTTTTCTTCTGCCAGATGTTGAGGGATATTTAATTCTGAGATTATGATGGTTCTGAGCTGAGTTGGAACCCCATAAGGGGTACCCTTTGGAATCCCAACTCAGAGCCAAAGAGCTTGTAAGGGCCTTTTGCTCTTGTTAACCCTTAAACTTCAATTTCTTTTCCCCTAGCCCTGTGATATTGAAAAAGGAGCTGCTCAATCTTGAAATTGCCCCTTCCAGAATAAGCAGAAGCCCCAGGGAGAAAGGCTTCTGAAATGCTGGTCCAACTCCTAGGACACCATCCTTCTGTACATTTAGCCCGGTAAATTGTTTACTAATTCACTGGCTTTCTGATATTTTTGAGCATATTTTTGAAAACATTTTGTCCATCACTTCTACCTGTCCTTAGTGGAAGAGTTGATCCAAATTTCCTAGTATTCCTTTACTAGAAGTAGAGGTTACTTATTTATTTTCTGTAGAAAAATCTCCTTTTCCATATGACAGAATAGTTGACTGGCATTTTTCTTCTGTTGTAATGTTTGATGTGCTTTGAAATCCGATGGTTCTGGAGTACTGAAATTTTGCTTCATAATTTTGTTTAATGGGATATGTAGTGTAATTCTGGATCTGGATGCAGACTTCACAGAAGCCAGGAAGACTATGTTACAGGAAACTTTTATTTTTGATCATATATTTTATGTTAATCTCATATATTTTCACAAAGTTAGGGTCCTAGGTATGACATATGACAATGCATGAATTAAATAAGGTTTTTATCTTCCAGCATGTTAATGAATATAGATTTTAATGAAAATGCTTGAGTATCTGAAGGAAGAGCAAGAACTCTGGCTTCCTGACTAAGGGAAGAATCTCTCCTAGTCAGTGAAAGAGTCAGTCTTGGAAAATCCCAGGCCTGTGGTCCTGGGTGGTGAATGGCATAGGGGGGGTGCTCCTGGTGAGGGTCTGAGAGAGAACAGGGCTATCCCACTGGGCTCCGGGTTCCAGCTGGACGGGCTTGCTGGGCTCCACAGGGCCCGCCTGGACCCATGTGGGAAGCCAGCAGGGCGCCGCTTCATGAGCGCTTCTTTCATGGCTACCCTGGGAATTTCTGAGCGAAACACACATGTAGGACATCTGTTTTCTGTGTTCCTCCTTCAAAGCAGTGAAAATGTTGGTTTTATTTGAGAAAGGAGAAGGGGAAAAGGCAGATAAGAGCTCAGTGTTTGAGAAACTAGGCAAGTTTCTATACCTACTGAATTGGCTCCTATAATATTTACTCCTTTGCGATTTCTCTCTTTTCAGTGAAATGATCGGGTTAGGCCGTTTCAGTGCAATAGCTCCTGTAGCCTAGGACTCTCCCATGAACTACAGACCCATTTTATTCCCCTGCTTCCTGGACATTTCTGCTTAGATGTCAGCCACTGCAGAACTTAGGATGTCCCCTCCTCAAGTCAAAACATTTCCCTAAACCTGACCCTACTGAAGTTTCTTCTCCTCTTCCCATGAGAGGAAGAAGCCAGATTTGAACGACACAGAACTATGCCCACATTGCAGAAGGGGCCTCCTGCTCTTTGAGGGTGTGCACTGTAGAGGCAGTCTGCACAGGCCCATCAAAATGCCTATGTCCTGTGCACTAAACTAGCGAAGCCAGGGGAAAATATGCACAAAATTCTTCTTGTAAGACACAGACATTAATAGTAGTGTACAAATCATTCATCTCATATTTCAATAAAACTTATTTTTAAGAAACAGGTCACTCTCTACCTTGGTTTCTTCCTGCCCTGGAACATTCTCTGGGCCTTGCTGTCATTCTGCTTATCAGCCACCTTGTTGAAGACTTGTGATTACAGTACCTGTCGTCAGGCCATTCCTGATCAGAGTGAATGCTGAACTTTTCCTAAAGCAGAGACTACATGACAACTAAATGCGTTACATGATTGTAGGTTGGGCAAATAAAGGACACTAACAGGACAACTGGCAAAGTGTAGATAAGATCTGAAGATTCGATTACAATATTAGAGGCAGGCACTCTGAAAGCAAAGATGTTGACTGCTACCGGGGGTAGAGTGAGAGACAAACTGGCCAAGAATCAGCAGAGCATTTCCTCCAGAGAGACTTTCTCGTCCTCAGCTCTTCTGTGTTCTCGCTATCACTGGCCCAGGCTTCTGTCATCCTGCCCTAGTGTTCGTTCTTGTGATTTCCTGTTAGATGTATTTTTATGTGCACCACAAATGTTACTGGGCATCTGCATCAGTAAAGGGCACCTGTTACTTTCCAGGCCCTGCACTTGGTTTGAGGACCTGGGGACAAGTAAACACCGGCTCTGCCCTTGTGGCATTTCCTGACTTGTCATGAAGACAGGAAAATAGATACTTTAAGTTTAAGAGGGTGGAGCCAAGCACAGGGTGAAAAGCACCCACCTGATCCTACTTGGGTGACGGGTGTGTGGCTCGAGGAGGGGAGGAGGTGGGAGGCAGCCTCTGGCTCTGTACGAACCCTGTCCAGGTTCTCTGTCCATCGTTCCCTTGGGATGACAATAGGGCAGATGATGCAAAAGGGCCAGGGGTGGGATTAGAAGGGTTTAAGGGCTAGCACTGTGTCCTATTTGTTAGGCATCTGCTATAATAATAAAGCTAATTCTACTTACATTTGGGTGATACTTCATAATCAGCTTCTCCTGAAAATCACTGGCTCGTTTCACATGAGGACACTAAGGCAGGTAACTTGTTGAATCCCTAAAAGTCCCAGCTGCATTACTTAGAACTCAGGGTCCTGATTCCCCATCCAGAGCCTAGCCCACTAACCCATAAAATCCTGCCCAGACATTGTTTGGGACTCCACAAACGGGATCCTCTGCCTGCCCAGGATCCCACAACCCAGGGGAAGGGTTTATGTCCACCCTTGCTGGATGTAGGGTAAAGTCATGCTGGTTTCATCCCAACCTTGACGGTGTTGCCCTGAGCCAAGTGATTGCTAAGATCTTCTCTGGCTTCCCATTGGACTGTTAATGGGGATGAACATAGCAAGGTAACAGCAGTTTTTCAGGGGATGCCACATATACTCAAGTAGATCACAGATGCCAAATGGATGCTTTGCAGTCTCACAGCAGCCAGTGAACAGCCAGTTCTGCATTATGTAATTGCCACGAGATGTGTCAAGATGGGAGACTGAAGGAGAGGCCAGGCTCCTGTCTCTCTTGGTAGGATTCTTGTTTGCTGCATCTTGCGGCCAAGGATAGGATGCTAAGTCTCCAGGGCTGGACATGGATGTATTGTGAATGCAGGCCAACCTCATCATTTTCACTTGCAAAGGCCTGGAAAGATTTCTGGCCTCATGCTAGCTTTCCATTGATTACATAAGATAATGTATATACAGCCCTTGGCACATAGTAAGTGGACAATAAAATGGTAACTGCTATAATAGTAATAATTACAAGAATAATGATCTTACCAATTACTGCTAATAAATAGATCAGTAGTATCAGAGCAATAATTGTAATGATATAATACTACAGCAATCATTGGCAAGGCAGTGGGGTGGTTTGCAATGGGAGTGGTTCTCCCAGTGGGAAAGTTTTATTGGTGATGCATGATAATAGAAAGACCACATGAGAACACTCACAACACACTCACAAAACTCTCAGTTTTGCTGTGGACCTCAAACTGCCTTAAAAAGCAAAAAGCGAAAAGCAAGCAGATTGGTGATTAGTTGGCAGTGGTATTGTTTTTCAGTTCTCTGCAGACCTGCACTCCATTAGTACCTGTGCCAGGGTGGACCTGCTTTCACACTGGCAGTGATAAAGGTCATCTTTAAATTGCTCTACTGGCTGTGTAGATATTCCAATGAGCAGCACCTTAATGAGGGAGTAAGTCTGTTAGTACTGTTTGTTCACAACTGCATGTTGGTGAAATTGGCCTCAGGGCACTGCTGGGACTGAAGGCCACAGGTCTTGGTTCTCTGTGGCTCTTCACCTAGTATGGCTGCAGCTAAGCAGCCCCCCTGGAGGGCACCCAGCACCGATGGATTGGCTTCCTTTCTTTTGCCTAATGGAAGGCTCTCTCTCCGTGGAGTAGGAGACTGCCCAGCTAATCAGAGAAGTGGAAGTAGACAAGGTCTCTGCGCTCTCCAGGGACCAGGTGGAGGCCATCAAGCAGCTCTGGCAGGACCCCGGGATCCAGGAGTGTTACGACAGGAGGAGGGAGTACCAGCTGTCGGACTCTGCTAAATAGTGAGTACACAGCCCTGGGCGTGGCTCCCAGGGTCCTTCAGGCAAGCACAGCCACACTTCAGAGACGCTTCCCACGGCAGAGAAGTGAGCTGCTCACTCAAAGCGGGCACCTAACAGCAACATCTCTCCCCTCCTGCTTGTCTGTATCCTCCGTATTTCTTGGTGTGTCTCTCACCACCTCCTAAGACCCTCAGTCACCCTGTGCATCCCTGACCTCGGTCCTTGCCCACACCCACCTTTCCTAACTGTGCTGCTCTAAGCCTCTTTCCTTTTCAATGAGAGGCTCAAATGGGGGGTTCCCCTGGTGGGACTGATTTCATGTGGGGTACTGAAATTATCTGGTTTAAACAAGGATAACACCTGCTTCTGGCTTCCACTCTCCTCCTCTTAATATCCCTCTTTCTGGTTTCCTGATCAGTAGACGGCTGGTCCAAGTGCCCTAAAATCTAAAATCGGAATGTAGAACAATAATGCAAGGGCCTAGCAGTGGCTGATCAGGTGCTGCCCTCTCGTGGGTGAGATAGTCTCTGCAGGCCCAGCTCAAGGTAGCTTGGCCACCTGCGCTTTTTGCTTACTGACGCCCCTGCGAAGGCCTACACACTATATTTTGGATCCATAAAGCTCTAGCTTTAAATCATTAAACCCTAAGGCAAAACAAAATAGACGGTTTGCATGCAAGCTATCCCATGTAGGTTACAGGATTTCTTTTTTTTGAGAATTTCCCAAGGCAATGTCTCATCAAGCCAGGTCACCAGGCAGATAAATTGATTACGGTCCTCGGTGATGGTGCCTGCTTCTACAGCTCAGCTCTTACCCTCATGCCACATGTCACTTTCTGTCCTCTGAGGGCCTGGCAGTCCTTCACCTAGGCCTGTCTCCTTCCCTTCAGGGGCTGCCATTGATCGCCCTGAGCTGGCATGGGTGGTGGTTCACTCCCTTCATCCCGACAAGGCCGTGCACACAAGGAAGCCTGGAGTCTCTCCTCCTGTGGTGTCCATGGCCCTCCCTTTGGTGTTTGTCCCATGCCATTAACCCAGTCGACACAACTAATCTATAGGAGTACAGGAACATGCAGGTGTGACATGCAGGAAATGACAGAAGCCCCTTTAAGGTGCTGGGTCAGCAGGAGAGCAAGCTGGAAGGCAGGCAGGCACGCAGGGTCCTGAGGAGGGGGGTGGACTGCCTTTGGCAGCTGTGGCGCAGGGACAGCGCCAAGTTCACCAGGGCATGTGTGGTCCTTCCCTGAGACAGCCTGGTGTCACGTGCTTCTAGGAAGGGCCTGGGGGAGGCTGGGGCTCCTGATGTAGGTACACCTGGGAAAGGGCCCCTGAGAGAGATGTGGGGAGTGGCAACACATCCCTGCGACAGGGAGGGTGGCTCTCACAAACCCGGGCAGTTGCCCTGCCATTGGAACTGCCGAGTGTGGAGGCATGTGTGTGTGTCCCTGGCCCAGGGACCTGGCTGTCATCCGCTATGCTAGTACTGTCTGCTTATTCACATGGGCATTTACTTCACAAAAACATGATGCATGCCAACTAAGGGCCAGGCACTATGAAAAGAGCTGCAGGTCCCAAAAATGATCTCTGCCCTCAAGGAACACACAGTCCAGTGGAGTGAGATAGGTATCAATCAAATAACCACACACAGAAGTCCGTGGGGATAAGCCTTGGGGTCACACAGGAGGCATGGTTGTGGGGTCGGGGGGTCACAAAAGCTGCCCCAGTGGTGTGCTTCCTGCACGAGGGCTGCACGGTGGAGCTGCCTCTGACCTCTGGGCCCCTTCACACCTGCTGTGTGGCCGGGGTGGGCTGTCTGCGCAGGTGGAAGGTGGGGGGCTCGGAATCACCAACTTCCTCCTGGCCAGGGCCCGAGGTACAGCTCTTTTACTCAAAAATGCCTTTTAAAAAGGCCTTAATTTTTAAAAAGTGTCTCTTGTGTTTTAAGTTAAGGGCTTTAATACATGTCCAAAAATAACTCAGGACAAGGTTTGGGTTATTTTAGGAGATGTTAAATTTTCCAGTGTAACAGGAAACTTTCTGTTATTTTGAAAGAACTTCTCATTGTTCTGTTTTATGCCTTTACATTTTCTTAGAAACTCTAGTTCTTTGAGCAAAGCATCTGCGAGCAGGTTCTACACTCTATCATGTTGTTGGATGGGGGTGAGCATGCGGGGAGGCTCTGGAGGGAGAGGACAGCTGAGCAGCCGGGGGGGCCCATCCTTCTGGCCTCAGTGGCTCCCTCGGCAGCCGGGTGGTGACTGAGCCTAGAACCCAGAGGAGAGACGGCAAGATCTGCAGATTTCACAGAAGGCTCTGACCCGTGTTCTCTCCATAGTCACAGCTGGGGGGAAGGGGCCTGCCCCCAGCACTGGCTCTCAGGAGGCCACCGGTGGGATCGTGAGCCTTAGCGGGGTTCCCTGAGGGCTGCGGCAACGTTCCTGAGTGGGAGGGACCCTTTTTCCTTCTCCGTGTCTCAGCGCCTTGCTCTCCTCTCACAGTTACCTGACGGACATCGACCGGATCGCCATGCCATCCTTTGTGCCAACGCAGCAAGATGTGCTCCGCGTTCGTGTGCCCACAACTGGCATCATCGAGTATCCATTTGACTTGGAAAACATCATCTTTCGGTGAGTGTGTCCTGACATGGTCCAGGCTTGGAAGTCCCAAATGGATTCTTGAGTGTGTTATTCCTAAAAGGGGTCGCATCTCTCAGGGTGGCACGGCCCTCTTCATCGTGGGGCATTTAGAACTGTGCAAAGAAGTCACATTTTTATTCACCTTAGAACAGTCTCCTTACTGATGCCTGCAAGATTCTCATATGTAAAACACACACCCATATATATATATATTTGTAACCCACACACTGTCTAAAGTTGAGTAATACTCCTTTCCTTTTATTCCTGTCTCCAAGATTTATCCTTTAAAAAGAGAAAATACAAAATTGTATTATGTATTAAACATTATATAAGATAATGTTTATAAACTACAGCTGTATAAAAATGTATGAACTTCCACATACAGATGTAAGAAATACTTTCAGGATGCCTTAGGGGGCTCTTTATTGCATTTGATAATAGCAAAAAAATGAATTTCACAGCACTTTTACATCCCTTAGTTCAGTTATTCCTCCTAATAGTTATCACACATGCTTTTCTAGTTGACATGACTCAAGTCTGGTCCTGCCATAACCCCCACTACACCTCAGTGCTTCTGGAGCTTTGTCACACTGGGGGAGCCCTCTAATTAAGCGCCTTGAAAATATGCCTTTTGTGCACACATTCCATGTTCTATGTGCCCATGAACTTACCTAAACCTTTTCAGAATCTATACTGCTTGCTACTTCCAAAACCTGTATCTGGTCAAGATGTATTCTCTTTGACCCACTGAGTGTTTTTAAAAACTTTTGGTCAACATTTAGAAATTGGGCTATTTCACTTAAAACACTTGCTACCCAGTGTAGTTGGAGGATCTGGTCACGGTGAGCCTGCGTTTCTGCCCAGCTGCGGTCAGCTGCCGTGGAGTTGCTGTCACCCCTTTAGGCAGAGCCCCATCACTCTCGAGGTGCATGCTCTTCTACTTTGGAAATGAGAGAGGCCCCTCGTCTCATTTCCGTAAACCACCTCACCTCTCCCTGGGGCATGGAGCTTGGGATCCACCTTGGGCTGTGATTCCCTGAAGTCTTTTCGAGAGGCTTTGGATTTCCATAGTGGTCAGAGCAACACTCAGGTGCATGCTTATGCGTTCTGTCTGGACTAGAGCAGCAGCTTCCGAGCTGATGTCTCCACGCAGCCTCCACCTGAGTGACCTCTGGGTCTTTAGTAACTTACATTTTGTGCTTCAAATATTTTACTCTTAGGACCCCAAAGAATGCTGATTTCCATGGTATAATGATTCATGTCCTTTTTCTCTAAAGAGGCCAACCTTTGAGTGATCTTTGTTTCTATTGAACAGGATGGTGGATGTTGGTGGGCAGAGATCTGAAAGACGGAAATGGATTCACTGTTTCGAGAGTGTCACCTCCATTATTTTTCTGGTTGCTTTAAGTGAATATGACCAGGTCCTGGCTGAGTGTGACAATGAGGTATGCTGGGTGGGGAGTTAGGTTAGCTGTGGAAGACAGAGACCTGTTTCTGTAGTTTGTAAGCCAGCTGGCATTAGATTCTGTTTGTTAGGTTAAATCGTTTCGCTACTTGAAGTGGTCTGTGGACAAAAAGGAAGCACCTGGGTGCTTGCTGCAAATGCAAACCTACTGAGTCAACAAGACCAAGTAAACCAGAATCTGCATTTTAACAAAATCCCAGGTGATTCAAATACAAAAGTTTGAGAATCACTGGCCTGAAATTGGTTCTCAAACTTGGATGTACGCTGGAATTCTCCAGGACCTTATAGAAATACCTGGTGCCTGGGTCCAACCGGAGATCTGATTTACCTGGCAGTGGGTGTGGCCTGAGCATGGGACCTAATATACTGCCATGCATGGAGCCATTTAAAAGCATTGGTTCTCAGTCTTGGCTGCATATTGGGATCCCCTGGGGAGTTCTTTTAAAAATACAATTTGGACCCCACAGTAGATTAATATAATAGTTCCTGGGTTTGAGTTGGGGGTATCTTTTCTAACCTCCCCCCCCACCTGAGATGTTAATGTACAGCTGAAGTTGAGTGACGCTATTTCCAATAACATCTGGGAACAGGCTTCCTAACCTCCATGTCCAAGGCACCCCCAAATCCTGAGCTGGCCTGGGGAGCCAGTTACTTGGAGCTGTTCTGGGGCTCTCTGGGATGCTATCTGCTGTTCGCTTTCCATGAAAGAGGCTTGCTCAGGGCAGTGTCTTGGGACTGACCCACCCCAATATGGAGGCATTCAGTGTCCTCTGCAGAGCAGTTATTAGCCGCAGCCACCTGGAGAGTGAAGAGAACCTCACAATGGCTTCTTTGTGAGGCTGGGGGTATTTCCTGTGGGGATCCATCCACTGTCCTCTCCTCATTCTTTTCACCACCCTTGCACAAGACCTCTTGACCTTTTAGAGAAATGTCTCTTTCAAACAAAGAACTCTGCCCAGGATAGAGGAGACTTTTCCCTGAGGAGCACAGTTACATTAGCTAATTAGTAGAGGATTAACACATTTACTAGTGTCATTGTGCAAAAAAGAATAGAAATCTTGGCTGCTGCCCAACTCTCCTAGTGGAGAAATTTTTAAAAAAGCAAAGGCATCAAGCTATCAGTATGAAACACTAGGTCCAAATTTGTCTCAGGAATCACTTCTGATGTTTTTCAGGAAACTCAAAAAATAAGGTGCACATAGGACTAAAACCTCAGCCTGATGTGCTTAGAAATTAAACATTTTCTCCTCTCCTAAAAATCACAAAGTATTTAGAAAAAGATTCTACACTGTTGCTTATCCAGACTTCCCCCTCCTGGCTGTAAGCATGTGCTGCATCCAGTCACCATGCTCTGCATGACTTTTTTCATACGTTGTATTTCCCTGGAGATCATTATTGTTAAGACCACAGTAAATTTTAGAGAAGTTTTACAAGTGAAGGGTTAACTTCTCTAGTAATAAACTCCAGATCTTGATCCCCAAACAGGTAGTTAGCAGGAGAGTAAGCCCAGGTGTAGGGAGCTGTAGGGAGGTGGAGGTCAGGGGCACGTCACTCTGGAGCAGGAATGCAGGGCTTTGATGTTTTTCAGTCTAACCACTTCCCTCCCTAAAGGGGAGCTCTTGTTTTCTGCCCTCTTAGGATATTCGAGAGAGAGCAGAATGCAACAGAGAACAATTACTGTCACCAGATAAGATTAGTATATGCTCTGTCTACTCTCCATAAATTAGGAACATTTAATATTTTCTTGCCGATGTCTAGCAATTATATAAGTAGGATCTGGTAGAAACATTTCATTTTGTGAGCAACAGTATGCTCATCCATAAGGCGGGGGCCCTGTTTTCTGAGTCAAGTCGCCTGTATCACACACACATAAAGGGAGACACAGGCTAGGTGCCCGGTGGTGTTAGCTTCCCTCTCTGCCAGCGCCCAGCATTCCTGAGGGCAGTGGCCCTGCTGCAGGAGCCTTCCTTGTCCCCTGGCAGAGCCCACACCTAATGAGCTCCCCCGACTTGGCAATCCCAATAATGACATGGAATGAATCTTCTTTTCCTAAGTTGCACAAAAGCCTTTCTCACATTCTTACTTTAGTGTGGGGCCAGGGAAGAGGTGGGTAGGAGGAGAACATGAGGCCTGGAGCCCTGCCGTGCTTACCAGCTTCAGCGCAGAGACAGCAGCTGGGTGACAGGACAGAAGTACAGCGTGTTTCCAAGGTATTGCTTTTCTTGTTAGTAACCCTGAGTCCCTTGTTTCTCACTTAGAACCGCATGGAAGAGAGCAAAGCCTTATTTAAAACCATTATCACCTACCCCTGGTTTCTGAACTCATCTGTGATTTTGTTCTTAAATAAGAAGGATCTTTTGGAAGAGAAAATCATGTACTCTCATCTAATCAGCTATTTTCCAGAATACACAGGTAAGCACAAGTGGCCAGCTGGTTGACGGCCCTGGCGTCAGTCCAGAATTCTTAACGTGGCTCACAGGGGCCTCCCTGACCTGTCTGACAGCCCTTTCAGCCTCCTGCAACCTCTGAAGGGCACCTCCAGGTACATCACCATGTATGTGTGCCTCAGCACCTCCACATGGGCCTGGAATACACTTGCCAACCCCGGCACCCCTCCTTTGGGAAATCCTGCTAACCCACACGCAACCTGCAGTCGGTGTGCTTCCTGTGGTCAGAGCAACACTCAGGTGCATGCTTATGCGTTCTGTCTGGACTAGAGCAGCAGCTTCCGAGCTGATGTCTCCACGCAGCCTCCACCTGAGTGACCTCTGGGTCTTTAGTAACTTACATTTTGTGCTTCAAATATTTTACTCTTAGGACCCCAAAGAATGCTGATTTCCATGGTATAATGATTCATGTCCTTTTTCTCTAAAGAGGCCAACCTTTGAGTGATCTTTGTTTCTATTGAACAGGATGGTGGATGTTGGTGGGCAGAGATCTGAAAGACGGAAATGGATTCACTGTTTCGAGAGTGTCACCTCCATTATTTTTCTGGTTGCTTTAAGTGAATATGACCAGGTCCTGGCTGAGTGTGACAATGAGGTATGCTGGGTGGGGAGTTAGGTTAGCTGTGGAAGACAGAGACCTGTTTCTGTAGTTTGTAAGCCAGCTGGCATTAGATTCTGTTTGTTAGGTTAAATCGTTTCGCTACTTGAAGTGGTCTGTGGACAAAAAGGAAGCACCTGGGTGCTTGCTGCAAATGCAAACCTACTGAGTCAACAAGACCAAGTAAACCAGAATCTGCATTTTAACAAAATCCCAGGTGATTCAAATACAAAAGTTTGAGAATCACTGGCCTGAAATTGGTTCTCAAACTTGGATGTACGCTGGAATTCTCCAGGACCTTATAGAAATACCTGGTGCCTGGGTCCAACCGGAGATCTGATTTACCTGGCAGTGGGTGTGGCCTGAGCATGGGACCTAATATACTGCCATGCATGGAGCCATTTAAAAGCATTGGTTCTCAGTCTTGGCTGCATATTGGGATCCCCTGGGGAGTTCTTTTAAAAATACAATTTGGACCCCACAGTAGATTAATATAATAGTTCCTGGGTTTGAGTTGGGGGTATCTTTTCTAACCTCCCCTCCCACCTGAGATGTTAATGTACAGCTGAAGTTGAGTGACGCTATTTCCAATAACATCTGGGAACAGGCTTCCTAACCTCCATGTCCAAGGCACCCCCAAATCCTGAGCTGGCCTCGGGAGCCAGTTACTTGGAGCTGTTCTGGGGCTCTCTGGGATGCTATCTGCTGTTCGCTTTCCATGAAAGAGGCTTGCTCAGGGCAGTGTCTTGGGACTGACCCACCCCAATATGGAGGCATTCAGTGTCCTCTGCAGAGCAGTTATTAGCCGCAGCCACCTGGAGAGTGAAGAGAACCTCACAATGGCTTCTTTCTGAGGCTGGGGGTATTTCCTGTGGGGATCCATCCACTGTCCTCTCCTCATTCTTTTCACCACCCTTGCACAAGACCTCTTGACCTTTTAGAGAAATGTCTCTTTCAAACAAAGAACTCTGCCCAGGATAGAGGAGACTTTTCCCTGAGGAGCACAGTTACATTAGCTAATTAGTAGAGGATTAACACATTTACTAGTGTCATTGTGCAAAAAAGAATAGAAATCTTGGCTGCTGCCCAACTCTCCTAGTGGAGAAATTTTTAAAAAAGCAAAGGCATCAAGCTATCAGTATGAAACACTAGGTCCAAATTTGTCTCAGGAATCACTTCTGATGTTTTTCAGGAAACTCAAAAAATAAGGTGCACATAGGACTAAAACCTCAGCCTGATGTGCTTAGAAATTAAACATTTTCTCCTCTCCTAAAAATCACAAAGTATTTAGAAAAAGATTCTACACGGTTGCTTATCCAGACTTCCCCCTCCTGGCTGTAAGCATGTGCTGCATCCAGTCACCATGCTCTGCATGACTTTTTTCATACGTTGTATTTCCCTGGAGATCATTATTGTTAAGACCACAGTAAATTTTAGAGAAGTTTTACAAGTGAAGGGTTAACTTCTCTAGTAATAAACTCCAGATCTTGATCCCCAAACAGGTAGTTAGCAGGAGAGTAAGCCCAGGTGTAGGGAGCTGTAGGGAGGTGGAGGTCAGGGGCACGTCACTCTGGAGCAGGAATGCAGGGCTTTGATGTTTTTCAGTCTAACCACTTCCCTCCCTAAAGGGGAGCTCTTGTTTTCTGCCCTCTTAGGATATTCGAGAGAGAGCAGAATGCAACAGAGAACAATTACTGTCACCAGATAAGATTAGTATATGCTCTGTCTACTCTCCATAAATTAGGAACATTTAATATTTTCTTGCCGATGTCTAGCAATTATATAAGTAGGATCTGGTAGAAACATTTCATTTTGTGAGCAACAGTATGCTCATCCATAAGGCGGGGGCCCTGTTTTCTGAGTCAAGTCGCCTGTATCACACACACATAAAGGGAGACACAGGCTAGCTGCCCGGTGGTGTTAGCTTCCCTCTCTGCCAGCGCCCAGCATTCCTGAGGGCAGTGGCCCTGCTGCAGGAGCCTTCCTTGTCCCCTGGCGGAGCCCACACCTAATGAGCTCCCCCGACTTGGCAATCCCAATAATGACATGGAATGAATCTTCTTTTCCTAAGTTGCACAAAAGCCTTTCTCACATTCTTACTTTAGTGTGGGGCCAGGGAAGAGGTGGGTAGGAGGAGAACATGAGGCCTGGAGCCCTGCCGTGCTTACCAGCTTCAGCGCAGAGACAGCAGCTGGGTGACAGGACAGAAGTACAGCGTGTTTCCAAGGTATTGCTTTTCTTGTTAGTAACCCTGAGTCCCTTGTTTCTCACTTAGAACCGCATGGAAGAGAGCAAAGCCTTATTTAAAACCATTATCACCTACCCCTGGTTTCTGAACTCATCTGTGATTTTGTTCTTAAATAAGAAGGATCTTTTGGAAGAGAAAATCATGTACTCTCATCTAATCAGCTATTTTCCAGAATACACAGGTAAGCACAAGTGGCCAGCTGGTTGACGGCCCTGGCGTCAGTCCAGAATTCTTAACGTGGCTCACAGGGGCCTCCCTGACCTGTCTGACAGCCCTTTCAGCCTCCTGCAACCTCTGAAGGGCACCTCCAGGTACATCACCATGTATGTGTGCCTCAGCACCTCCACATGGGCCTGGAATACACTTGCCAACCCCGGCACCCCTCCTTTGGGAAATCCTGCTAACCCACACGCAACCTGCAGTCGGTGTGCTTCCCTTGGCCGCTGTCAGTCTGTCTCCTGCCGGCTCCTCAGGGCAGGGACCACGCCTGGCTTATCTCTGCATCCCAGTGCCAGTCAGAGCACGGGGCACTTCTTATGTTTAGGTTGAAGTGCTGCAGTCCCCAAAGTTCTTTATGTGCAAGACCTTGCCAAGGCAAGGAGTTTATGCTCTATTGCTACTACTCTTCTGCTACAGGAGGTCTCAAATTCTGAGTTGGACAGTGATGTTTAGAGGGATTGTATCTTAGCATCTCTTTTTTTTAACTGCATTGGTCACACAGGAGAGAGTCCTCAAGCTGCAAAATCAGACTCAGGTGCTTAATAATGTTCCTGCACTCTCCTAGCCAACTTATGAGTTAAGCACCATCTCTCTTCAAAAGTGGTCCAAATCAGAAATTGACTTTAAGTACTCTTACAGGTTAATAATGCTCCAGGTAAGTTCTTCTCTAGAAATAAAACAGCTCAAAGGATCCTCACTAAGAACAGGAGTACGTGGAAAATGATTTTGGGGAGGATCTAGTGGTAAGTAACTTTTTCTTTCTTCTGCTAACTGTACCCTTGACTAGGACCAAAGCAGGATGTCAAAGCTGCCAGAGACTTTATCCTGAAGCTTTATCAAGACCAGAATCCTGACAAAGAGAAAGTCATCTATTCCCACTTCACATGTGCCACAGACACAGAGAATATCCGATTTGTGTTTGCTGCTGTGAAAGACACAATTCTACAACTCAACCTGAGGGAATTCAACCTAGTTTAAAAGCTGCTGCCATCACCCCACACCCTGGGCGGTACACCAAGCCCATTACTGCTGGCCACAAGGACAGAGATGGGTGTGGGCACTTCTAAAATATTTGAGTTTAGCAAATCTTTCTTTAGTCTTTATTCCCAAATTGTTTTTCTTTTTCTTGACTTTTGGCTATAAGATTTATATAATTTTTGAATTTGATATTTTATAAAATTTTTAAAAGTCACTCTGATTTACTTTAAAAAAAATATCACAACAGAGGGGTCTGTTAATTTATAGATCATGCCATGAGACCTCTAATTATTTTGGGTGACATTTTTTAAATTGCCTATAATTTACAGACATTTTTAATTGACTGTTTTTTTCTCTCTTCATGTTGAAGTATGATGCTTCTGACATGCCACCAAAGATTTTTAAACAGTTGGTGTTTTTTGTATTAACTAAGTCAAATTAAAGCCTATATCAGTACAACTCATTTAGTTTTGCCACAATTCGATCAAAGTTGACATCAGGTAAACAGGCTCTCAAATGCATATTGTTGTATTGGTGGAAAATGTGCGTATATATTCCAGTGTATATGACCAAGTCTTTGAAACTTATGAAATAGCTGAAATTGTCTGACAAATATAATGTAACCCCTGCCAAAGTTTTGATGGCCAACACAGATTTGCTGTTTGAACCATGTATGCTATGCCTTTCTGAGGAGGCTAAGAATATACCATTCTGCCATTAGCACTGGATTATAATTGTTTTTCTTTGAGCTCATGGGTGATCTATGGTTCTGCTCTTAAAAAGGAAAAATGCTATGACTTTAATAATTAACTCAGATACTTTCTAAATATTTTTGGGCCCAGGAAAAATAATTTTCCCTTCTAGGGGCTTGGCTGAGAGCCCACCCCTATAATAGATTAACAGGAGAAAAACAAACACAAGTTTATTAATGTGTATGAGTAGCCCCTTGAAACAGCCCAGGCCTTTGTCATTTACAGGCAATTACCAGGAAAAGCACAGTAAATAAGGGTAAGGTTGTCCTGCAGATTTAAGTTGGGTACCTTTTCCATTAAGAGAGTCCACTATTATTTCACTGAACAAGTCTCTTAGTCTTGAGAATAACAAACAGGTCAGTTCAAACAGTTGTATCTCCTTCAGGAGGTGGTACTGCAGGCAGGCTCCCGAAGTTAGGCCTATGTGGTACAAGAAAGCAGGTATTTAGTAAGAGGCATTTCTATGGAAACAAAAAAACAAGGTTAGTGATTGAAGCAAACTATATACTTAGTCTGAGTCCTGTGGAGACAGCCAGTCAGAAGATTTCTAGATGCTGGGTTGGGTTAAAGCATCTTTTGCAGTTTGATGTCATTGGTGTTTAGGTCAACTTTCTGAGTGGCCTATATAACAACAGGCATGAAGACTGTCTAAACATGAATGCTTGCAGTGCTTTGGGAAATACTTTTGCAAATGACAAAAGACTTGAGTTCATTACAATGTAATTGTCCAGGAAATGTAGTTATTTCTGTTACATACATTTTAAGAAAATAACTAGACTTACAAGTGATATTATACCAGGATATATCAGATTTCTAGGAATTTTGATTTGTTCTTAGTGATTCCAAGTCAAAAGAGTAGAAGAAAATTGGAAACATTAGTTGGACAAGTAGTAACCAGATATGAAGAAACAAAGTATTCAGAACTAGTCCAGTTTACAGGTAAATAATGAAACCTCAGACAATTAACATGAGTACAATCTGATATCCACAAGAGTATATTACAGTTTCTACTGAAGCATCATTTTTCTCTACAATCAACTCCATTTTTACCAAAGGTAATTATAGTAAAACCCTGTTATGTTTGCAAAATAAATCTAGCCTCAACAATCTTGGCCGGAATTTTTTACATAAGGGCAACAAGAATAGCGGTTGGCCATACAGACTCCTGTATCTGTTTGGCTGGAACTTCTCATAAGAATTCTCAGGGTGGACTTTTTAAAAGCTTCCAAAGGCTAGGAAGCCAAGGTGCAAAACCTATACATTTGGGTTAATTCCTCTCTTCTCAAGCTCCCCTAAATATCCTGAGGTTCTTACCTGCCAGGAAATAAACTTCCCGGTAAGGCTGTGAGGAATCCTGTAAGCAAGGATTCCAGAACCTCCATAAAGTCAATCTAAGTCGCTTAAAACTGATCATACCTGATTCTATGGACGTTCTCAAATACAACATTCTAGTCAAAGGCTTGGTAATATAATATACAATTGTATCCTGTTACAAGAACAGGTTCTTATTGAACTTATGCAAATCGACATGAAAGTAAGAATACTAGAGTTTCCAAATTCTGGAAGGATCAAGTAGGGAGAAAAAATAATTGTTTCACCTTGCCCACAAAGGTATATCCTACCAAATTGCTGTAAGTCATAGACAGCTTAAGAGGCATCAAAAAGGTTTCCTTAAATCTGGAAAAACAAAGCATTAAAAAAATAAGCAATGTTTCAAACAGTCATAAATGTTATCTTCATCAGTTCATTCAATCACAGGAAATAAATTATTGTTGATCTTACTCTTCTTGTTAGCAGTTTTAGAATCCAGTTTTTACTTAGATTTCTATAAATTCTTACCCAATTCAATGGTATGATATAAACGTTACCAGAAACCTGTACTAGTTGGAGTCCTCTCCATGATTCTCCTTGAAAATGAAAGCACTTTTGCAAAAGCGAAACCATAACATCTGTAAATGACACTTACAAATGGCCACGGCTAAAGATCTGATTAGTTCATATAATGCAATTGAAAAGGAGATACGGTTATCTCTATAACATATTTAAAAATAATAACTAGAATTATAGGTTATAACATTATGCCAAGGCATATCAGATTTCTAGGAAATTCACAAAAATTCCAGAACCCTTAAAGCATTTGTCCATACAAATCTAACAAAGCTTAGTCTCATTTCCTATTTACCAATGCTTCCCATGTAATTTAACAAAAGCCTAATTAATTTATTATTTTTTTTTACAAGATGAGAGAACAAATTTTGAGATATTCCACAGGCCTCCTGAAATATCCCAAATTAGTCAAGGTCAAAGTCTTCATTTAGAATTTGATTTTTGGAAGTCTGTCAAAAGTATCAACAATTTTGAACACTTGACTAAATAGGATCACAGATCATTATGAAACAATACTTAATTGCCTATTTAACCAAAGTGACAATAAAGGATTTTGAAGGCGAGTTTTCTTAGGACATTATTTTAGTAAACCATAAACTCTTTTGCTTTCTAGGCAGGTTACTTAAAAGGTAAAAAGAAAGCCTTTCACAATCCTTTATCAGGTAGAGACCAAAAGTCCAAGAAAATGTTGTCCTCTAATAGATGAAAATATATTTTTAGTTTTATATACATCCACCATTGATATTAACACTTATCCTTAAACACTTAAAATAAACTCATTGTATTTTAGCCAGCTTAATTATACAAGATTCTCGCTGTCTCTCAATTCCCAACTTTCTGCATCCAATTAATTTGTCCTTATTTTCTTTCCCATTCTGAAACAACCAAGTCTACTTTAGGACAAAATTATTCTCTTTAACAAAAAAGCATCTCTGTACCTGTACCTTTTCTTAACCAAAAATATATCTTACTTTCATTGCATACAGAGATGTTTCCCTATTTCTAGTAGTTTTAATTCCATATGTTAACTAGAATTCCCAACCTTTGAAACCTTAATTTGTAGTGAAAACCAAGAAGTAAGCAATTATGAGCTGTTACATGCCAATATGCTATTGATTGGCATATTTAAAGATTTCATAATTTCTAGAAGCATATGCTTCTTTATAATTTTTCAATGTAGCACAAGATGTTTACTAACAGGCCCAAATATGTTTAGTTTCTCTGTAACAAGAAGCCAAAAGCAGACAGACCTATTCAGGGTTTCATCTATTTGGACATGATATACATAGTGAATTTCCATTGTCTAACTTAACAACATTTTAAGGTTTCAAGTTACCAAAAAGATTGTGGAAGCCATTTCAAGGAAGACGTATATTATAAAACCTCATCATTGTGGAAAAGTTCATTTACAAACTTTTATTCCAATTACATTTATTTAATTCACTTGTTTTTAACAATCAGATTACTCCTGAAATTTTCATGAGACATTGAACAAAGTTAGACATAATCCTAAATTATTTTTCTTGCTGACAAATTTTGGAACAGAGATAACATGAACTTATTTGACTAATAAACCTAAGTACAATAAAAGTTGTATGTCTGTATTATAGCCAATGCTGAGAACTCTGAACAAACATGCCTACTCTAAGACTTAACTAGCTTTTATTTACTGAGTATGTTCCCAGATCATGCAGGATTGGGAAACATTTGGGTTAGTGTCTACATTTCTGAGAGTTTAGAAATACTTAATTCTTATAAGCTTTTTTTTAAAGCCAATTAAGTAGAGTTGTTTTACAAATTACTTTTGGCAATACCATTTGGAGATAGAAAAAAAATATCTCACATCTACAACATACATACATACATATATACATAAACATATAGACACAAAGAGAGACCTTATAGCTATTGTTATAAAATTTTAGCCATGAATCAAGTACAATACCAAACTCACTGGTTTGTAAAAGAACAGTTGGGTCCAAATTATGTTTTGAGCAGATGGAATAAGTTTACCCACTCAGATGGCTAAAGCTTTTTTATCATTATTTGGGGAGAAGACACAAGTTTTTTTTTTTTTTTTGTCCAATTTCCAAATAACTTTCTCCTTCTATTGAGAATCATCTCCCTAAAGTTATGTTTTGAGCAGATGGAATAAGTTTACCCACTCAGATGGCTAAAGCTTTTTTATCATTATTTGGGGAGAAGACACAAGTTGTTTTTTTTTTTTTTGTCCAATTTCCAAATAACTTTCTCCTTCTATTGAGAATCATCTCCCTAAAGTCTTCATCTCAAAGAGATGGCTCTCAGGTCTTAGAGAAGATGGGGGTAGAAAATTTGTATCTCAAAGGCACAGAGAAAGTATCCAAGTTTTCTCCAAGGAGTTTTGGGATAAATGTGCCTATTACCAGAGGTTTAGGATATTTACTATTGGAATTTTTCCTTTTCTTAGGTGCAGGACAATTCTGTTTCCAATTTCCCAATCTTACATAATATCTGCAACCATTTTGAGATGAAAAGGGGAGATCTGGGGATTAGTAAGGATAAGTAGAAATTATATTGCTTCTAAAACTGCATTTCTTATTTTATAAAGACTTGTAAGTCAGACGATTATCTAATTCTTCAAAGATTGAGTGAGCCTGAATATCATCGGGTTGATCTGTCCATCCAACTACATTATCTTCAATTTGCATCTTTATATTAGGGAAAATATTTCCATCCCAACTAAGATGGAAATCAAGAGATTCTTGTATCCTGGAGCTTCAGGGTTTAATGCAGTATGCCTTTATAAAGTCTGTGTAAAGCATTCAACAAAGGCCCTCAAATGCTCTCCTTTTTGAGAATACAACTCAACCCTGGCCCCATTCACTATAGGGGTAAAAGCTTTTACTATAGTTTTGAAACCCCTTACCATTGGCCTCAGCTGATCCATTACCTGATCATGTGCAGGAGGGCCTGGGAAAAATTCTAGTACTCTGTTTCCTCTGTGAGGGGTTTTCCCCTAGAGGGTCTGGCTTGTTTGGTAACTGCAATATAGTCATGGGGAAGAATACCCTCTGAGCAGCCAATCCAGGTCCCTGTGAGTGAGGCTGTAAATGGCCACTGATCTAACTCTTCTCTAAATTTGGTAAGATCTTCTGAAAGTGATGGTATAAAGGTCACTGTAATATTGTTAAGAGAATCCCTAAGACTAGATGCCATGCTCCATCATATCCTCTTTTCAATTTGATCATTCTGTATGTACCAATAAAGACAATTGTGTAGAGAGAGCTCTTTAAAATTTTTTCAAACATCTAAGTTTTTCTAATTCAAATGATCCATCATATGGTCATTGACAAATAGGACCTTATATTAAATCTCAACTATGACTTAACCATGGATGCCAGAGGCATCCCCAAAGAGGTTGCAAAAGATGCAGCCCTCACATGATTCAAGAAGTTCACTCCCAAAGGTAGCCCTAAGAAAGCAAAACCTCAAACTTCTGGAGGCTTAAAGATGGTGAGAGGTGAAACAGAATCCTCCTCCCAAAACCACATATAATATGAAAATATAGCAAATTCATCTAATCCTGAAAGAGCAACAGGGAAGAAGGATGTAGCAGACTGCCTACACCTGGGGAAAATGGCAGACCTTAAGGAATAGGGTAAAGTATTAAAGCCGTGATCCAGAGGGACCCAAGCCCTTCCCCCACCCCAGCTCACTGGAGGGAGGAAGAGAAATGGAGCGGGGAGCGGGTGGAGGCCTAGGATGCTGAACACCCAGCCCTGGAGATCTGCTCTGGGAGCACTAACCTACATTACATGGTGCTCTGGAGATTAGTGGGGTTGGGAAGCTAAGACAGTTGAAATACTTGGAGAGACTGAGATTCCAGCCACTTGTGGAAAACATGTATCCATAACTGGATGCTCTGGGACAAAAGACAGGCAAGCAGTCTGAGAGACTTCCTAACAGAGAGAGGATTGCTAAGGGGCAAGGATTGGACAGAGCTTGCTGCTCAGGAGAAAGGACAGGTGGACAAAATTGTCTGGGTGTTAATGTTGGTGGGGGGTATGGGGTGGGCTCTACAACACAGAGAAGACAAGTAGTGATTTTACAGCATCTTACTATGCTGATGGACAGTGACTGTGAAGGGGTATGTGGGGGGGACTTGGTGAAGGGGGGAGCCTAGTAAACATAATGTTCCTCATGTAATTGTAGATTCATGATACCAAAAAAAAATTGTCTGGATGCACTCTGCCCAGCAGGTTGGGAACTTGCAGGAGCTTCAGACAGTCCATCCCCCTGGCTGTCTATGCAGCTATGAGGCTGCCCCCAGCTGTGATATGTGCCTTCCTCCAAGCCACAACCTGCTGCCCCTACCATCATGCCAGGCCAGCCAGAGGGCGGCCACACCTATGGCAGCTACAAGTGCAAAGCACAGAGGCTTTTTCCTGCATGCTTGGCCCACTGGCCCTAGCAGTGGACGCAGGCACTGCAGCTGGGGAGGAGGAATGAGCTCTTTTCTCCTGATAGGCACCAGCGCCACTCACCTGTGACCCCCTCCATCACTCCAGGGGCTGAGCAGCTTCAGACTAGAGCTTGTGGGCACTAGAGGGCACTACATACAAATATGAAATGTCAAAGGAACCTGGTTCAAACAATAACCCCACAAAAACCAGAAAGAGGATTAAGTGAAGCTGAACTCATCAATCTTCCTGAAAGAGAATTCAAAATAAAAATCATAAACATGCTCATAGAGGTACAGAAAAATATTTAACACCCCAGGGAGGAATTCAAGAATGAGATACAAATGCTGAAGAATACAGTATCTGAAATGAAACATACAATGGAGGGATTTAAAAGCAGCATAGATGAAGTACAGGAGATGGCAAATGAAATAGAAATTAGAGAACAGGAAAACAAAGAAGCGAGGCACAGAGAGATAAAAGGATCTCTAGGAATGAAAGCATATTGAGAGAACTGTGTAACCAATCCAAATAGAACAATATTCACATTATAGGGGTACCAGAAGAAACAGAGAGAGAAAAAGGAATATAAAGTGTCTTTGAGGAGGTAATTACTGAGAACTTCCCCAATCTGGGGAAGGAGATAGTCTTTCAGGCCATGGAGGTGCAAAGATGTCCCAAAACAAGGAAATCAAGGAGGATAACACCAAGACATATAATAATTAAAATGGCAAAGATCAAGGATAAGGAAAGAGTATTAAAAGCAGCCAGAGAAAGAAATAAGATCACATACAAAGGAAAACCAATCAGGCTATCATCAGACTTCTCAGCAGAAATCTTACAAGCGAGAAGGGAGTGGCATGATGTATTTAATGCAATGAAGCAGAAGGGCCTTGAACCAAGAAATCTCTACTTGGCAAGATTATCATTTAAATTTGAAGGAGGGATTAAACAATTTCCAGATAAGCAAAAGCTGAGCGAATATACCTCCCCAAAACCAGTGTATTTTGGAGGGACTGCTATAGATGGAAGTGTTCCTAAGGCTAAATAGCTGTCACCAGAGGAAATAATATCACAGTAAAAAAATTAGACCCATTAATTACTACACAGATGCAAAATCAAATCAACAACCCCCAAAGTCAGCCAAGGGATAGAAAAAGAGTACAGAATATGATACGTAATACATAAAGAATGGAGGAGGAAGAAAAAGGAGGGAAAAAAAAACCCTTTAGATTGTGTTTGTAGTAACATAATAAGTGTTAAAGTTAGACTATTAGATAATAAGGAAGTAATCCTTGAACCTTTGTTAACCACAAATCTAAAGCCTGCAATGGCAGTAAGTACATACCTATCAATAATCACCCTAAATGTAAATGGTCTGAATGCACCAACCAAAAGACAGAGTCACTGAATGGATATAAAAACAAGACCTGTCTATATCCTGCCTACAAGAGACTCACTTTAAACCCAAAGATATACACAGACATAAAAGTGAAGGGATGGTAAAAGATATTTCATGCAACTAATAGGGAGAAAAAAGCAGAAGTTGCATTACTTGTATCAGACTAAATAGATTTCAAAACAAAGAAAGTCACAAGAGGCATAGAAGGGCATTACATAATGATAAAGGGGTCAGTCCAACAAGAGGATATAACCATTTAAATATCTATGGACCCAACATAGGAACACTTAAATATGTGAATCAAATACCAAGAGAATTAAAGTGGGAAATAGAATGCAATGCATTCATTCTAGCAGACATCAACACTCCACTCACTCCAAAGGACAGATCAACCAGACAGAAAGTAAGGAGACAGAGGCACTGAACAAGACATTAGATCAGATAGACCTAACAGACATCTACAGAACATACCACCCAAAAGCAGCAGGATACATATTCTTCTCAAGTGCACATGGAACATTTTCAAGAATAGATCATATATACTGGGCCACAAAAAGAGCCTCAATAAATTCAGAAGGATTGAAATTGTACCAACCAGCATCTCGGACCACAAAGGTATGCAAGTAGAAATAAATTATGCAAAGAAAACAAAAAAGCCCACAAACCCATTGAGGCTTAACAACATGCTCCTAAATAATCAATGGATCAATGACCAAATAAAAACAGAGATCAGGCAATATATGGAGACAAATGACAACAATAATTCAACACCGCAAAATCTGTGGGATGCAATGAAGGCTGTGCTAAAGAGGGAAGTTTATTGCAATACAGGCTTACCTCAGGAAAGAAGAACAATCCCATAGGAACAGTATAAATCCATAATTAATGAAACTAGAAAAAGAAGAACAAATGAGGCCCAAAGTCAGTAGAAGGAGGGACATAATAAAGATTAGAGCAGAAATAAATAAAATTGAGAAGAATAAAACAACAGAAAGAATCAATGGAACTGGGAGCTGGTCTTTTGAGAAAATAAATAAAACAGATAAATGCCTAGCCATACTTATTAAAAAAAAGTGTACATACATAAACAGAATCAGAAATGAGAAAGGAAAAATCAATATGGATGCCACAGAAATACAAGAATTAGAAAATACTATGAAAAATTATATGCTAACAAGTTGGTAACCTGAAGAAAAGGACAACTTTCTAGAAAAAATAGAAACGCTTGGTCCAATGCTGACCAAGGAAGATACAGAAAATCTGAACAGACCAATA